CCTGCTCAAGACCATCCACTGTTGCATTGGCTTTATCATCATCAACACCAACATACAAGGGTTCCTTTTTCAGAGAAATCCTCGCCAGGTCTTCAACTTTTCGAGTTTGTGTGGCAGAAAAAAGCATGGTCTGTCTGCGTACTGAAACAGATAAAATGAAAATGAATCCAAACTTACCTCTTAATCTCTCTGTAACTAGAAAGACCTTAAGTAGTAACACCAGGTCTGGGGTCGTGACACTGCTACAGAGTCTGTCAATAAGGGTAAGAAGGGAGTATCACCAACTTAGGACAATGAATTCCTTAGAATATATACTGTTGAAGCTCACTCATGAAGGAATAGCTAATGTGAATAGCCTTGGATTATTTTAAAAACTATAGTTAACAGCTCCATGTGGCATCACGCATACATTCTTCCCAGTACCTAAGGAAGAAATGCTATCAATTTTACACAAACTCTCTAGAAATAAAAAAGGTTTTATATCCCATCCTATTCTTTTGAAACTAGCATTACTGATTAACTTGTGTTGCCCTCTGAAAATTTATTGATACCCTAAACCCTGTATCTGTGGATATAATCCCACTGGGGAAAAGGCCTTTGCTGTATTAGTGAGACCGTGTCAGTGTCGGGCACCTGTGAACCCTAGTCACATCTGAGGTACAAAGAGCAGTATGGATACAGAGACAGGCAAGTGGAGATCACCGAGGGGCTAGGGAAGACAAGGATCTTCCCTAGAGCTGACTGAAAGAGGGAACCTTCCCCTAAGACCAAGAAAGAGGCACCGATCTCTACTCTTGCCACTTGTATTCCACACTGCATTATATTGTGGCCAGTACAACCAGGCAAGAAAAAAACTGAAGTGAAAGTGTATTTGTAGATGACATGATTACCTATTTAAAAAGTCCAAAAGGCTAGGGTCATCTGGAGGATCATACCAGACAATCCAGAGGACATCATGAATATCTAACTTGCTGGATATAAGATTAAATCAGTTGTATATGTGGGCACTGTGGGCTAATACACTGGACTGCAAAGTTTGTTTAAACTGCAAGGTCAGTGGTTCAAGCTTACCAGCTGTTCCTCAAAAACCCTACACAGGGTCGCTATGAGTTGGAACCGACTTGATGGCACTAACAACAACAATGAACAATCACAAATTGAAGTTAAAAGAAGGTAACAAACTTGAGGGGTGTTAGATGAAAGATTAGGATGAAATAAGGGAAATAAGACATATGTTAAAATGTTTAATCTGCATTAAAACCTCTAAAATGGAAAACACAGTATCAAGTTACCATTAAATTATTGGGTGGCACCAAAGGTTAAGTGTTCAATTATTAAACTCTTGATCCCATCCAGAGGGAGAAAGGCCTGATGATTGAAAATCCTATGATGTAAGTACAATTCTACTCGGCACAAAGGGGCTTGCCATGAGTTCCAAAGTGATTTATTTACTTATTTTTCTGAAAGTGGTGCTCATATTTCAAACCATCTCTATGGCTAATCGGCACACCTGGCTATCCTAACAATTTATCAGTCTAATAGTTTTCCTATAGGAATGGCTCTTATCTGACTCCAATAAGTACTTTGCAGATCACATGCAGATAGTACCTAATTACCTGGCAGAAGTTTAATGATTTGCTTTAATTCTTCTTCAAATCCAACATCCAAGATTCGATCAGCCTCATCAATAACCAAACACTGTAGATTTTTATACATGAACCCTGGGGTATTCTAACAAGACAAACAGCAAAGGAAAATGATAAGCTCTCAAGTTTTTGTTTCATACAAGGTAAGTCAGGCACTGCCTAATAGTGTTCTTTCACCTGCATGTGGTCCAGGAGGCGGCCTGGTGTGGCCACAATGATGTTGATCCCATTAGCAAGTTTCTGTGCTTCTGCAGACCTGTTACTGCCCCCCATGACCAGGCCATACGTGTGCACGTGGTGCGTCATGAGCTCCTTAAGCACACCAAAAGTCTGCATGGCCAGTTCTCGAGTAGGTGAGAGAATAAGGACTCCTGTTCCTAAAAAGCAAAAATGATAAACAGTCAAAGTCAAACTTGGCTGTCTAACAGGTACAACGAAGTTCTAATGAGATAATGACAGAAACAAATACAAAGCTTACCATTCCTCGGCATAAATTTTAGCTTAACAATAAGCTCAACTGCAGGGATGAGAAATGCCAGGGTTTTACCACTGCCTGTTTTTGCTGCTGCTAGAAGATCCCTAAAATTGAAAACTACATTTAGGCACTAAATATACAGCACAAACAAGAAAAACTGCCTGCCTCTGTTTCAGTAGTCACCAAGATTATACACACTCACCTATCTCCACACATCAGTAAATAATAAACTAACAATCATTAAGGCTTTTGATGAAGGTTGAACACAGGACCCAACACATAATGTACACAACAGCACACACTGGCAGTTTCTTTTCAATCCACTAGCCCTAAAAATATGACACCACTGTCCAAGCATGGATGTTAGACCCACCTGCCTTCCAGAAGAGGTCGGATACTTTTATGCTGAATTTCTGTCATGTTTGTAAAGCCCATTTCTTTTATTGCCTTCAGAGTGTTTTCGTTGACAAGATTACTTAGAGAAGTAAATGAAGAATCCTCATATGCTCCTAAGCAGAAAACATCAGTTATCAAATTTATCTCAGAAAGAACAACAAAAAAAGTTCATATTAGTGTAGTGGCTAAATGATTCCCTTTGATGACTGAAAGCATTATGGGGTAGAGTCAAGTTTACAAATGCTTCTAAATATAAAAGATGAAAATCCCAATCATTGGCATATAACAGAAAATAGTAACACAATTTCCAAAGTGTTGCCATTGTTGAGAGCGGTTTAAAGTCCAGAGTTTGTAGTGTAACGAAACATGGTGGAGAAGAGGCACCATTAAGACTTGATTATTCCTAAGTGAGCCAGTATTAAACCTCCAGGCTTCCAGGCCCACGTTTAATCCATTACACCATGGAGTGAGTTTTAGAAGCCAAGCAAAATAACCAGGGATCCTAACACTGTGCATGTGAAAATATTAGGAGGGGAGAAAACGAATCGAGAAACAAACCATTGCACTGCACTACAAAGTATAAGATAAAAATAGCAGGAAGCTATTAAAATGTCCTGTTGATATTTACTTTTCTCCACTAAGTCACAAATGAAGCCTCGAGCCTATAATCCAGAGGCTTGACATTTTAAAGATATATCTGGAAGACTTTCTGGAAATTACCTGTCAGTCCCATGGGCAGGCTGGGCACTTCACTGTCATCTTCCTCACCATCTGGCTTCTCCACTCTCATTTCTGTTTCTGCAGGAGCCTTGACATCACCCTCTTCAGATTTCTCTTTGTCTTCAGTTTTTACTTTTTTTGTGTCTTTGGTTTTCAAGGACAAAACCATTAAAAATCAAAAACAGGTGTGATCACAAAATAAGAGTTGTAATGCAAAAAGTTCTAATTAACTTTCCAAAGCTTATATCACATCTAGTTTTAATTTGCTAAGATTCTCTTTTATAAGACTAAAATGATTTCTTTGTGAAAGAAAGATTTGGTTTTATTTACAACCCGTACATATGGATTAGCGAGCCAAGATTTATTTTTGAAATTTATGGCAGTTAGTGATGCTAGTTAGAACAGAACTGACCAAGATCAGAACTCAGGGCCTTTCCAGCACCTTGTCTTCCCTTGTTGTTATTGTCAAGTGCCAATGAATTGGTTCCGACCCTGTACATGGATTCTGAGCAGCGGCTGGTGATCTTGAACTACTGACCTTGTGTTTCAAACCAACTTTGCAGTCTAGTACATTAACCCACAGCGCCATACCAAGACTCCGACTTCCTTCCTGCAAATGTCCAAATATGTAGGATCCACAGACTGCAAGGAGTCCAGGTGTGGTACTGTGGGTTAATGCGCCAGACTGCAAAGCCATTTGAACTGCAAGGTCGTGGTTCAAGTTCACCAGCTGCTTGTCAGAAACCCTATACAGGATCGCTATGGGTAGGAACCAACTTGATGGCACTTAACAACAACAACAACATGCTCACAAGACACAGGTACAAGCTGGTCTTCATGACCCGTCACTCTCTCATACTTAGAACGGCTCTTCAGTCCATGATTCAGGGCTTCGTTTATAAACTACACTTTTGCCAAACAGAATAAGAATCCCAAAGACCTCAATCATTTTAGGAAAACCTTATACTTCTCGTGTGGCACTGCAGGATAAAACCCTGGATGGTAAAGCTGGTGTGAATTGTAAGGTTGCTGATTCAAACTCATCAGCTGCTCCTCAGAAACCTTATAAAGAGTCGCTATAAGTTAGAACTGACTTGATAAAACATAACACTACAGTGGTGGTGGTGGTATGCCATGGAGTCCATTCCGACTCATAGCGACCCTGTACAGGGTTTCCAAGGCTATAAATCTTTATGGGAGCAGAAAGCCTCATCTTTCTCCAGCGGAACAGCTGGTAGTTCTGAACTGTCAACCTTGGGGTGAGCAGCCTGACTCAGAACCACTATGCTACCAGAGCTCCTTATATAAAGAGTTGCTGAGGTAAAACTGATTTGATAGAACCTAACACCATACTCACTTTTAAGTCAAAACTGGAATTCCTAATCTGCATGACTTTCCTTGTTTAAACAATTTTTCATACACACAAATGGGTTAGTTTATGGTCAGCATAAATATTGTGTCGTTAAGTGCCATGGAGTCCGTTCCAACTCATAGTGACCCTGTATAGGGTTTTGAGGTCTTTAAATCTTCAAGGGAGCCGAAAGCCTCATCTTGCTCTCGTGGAGCATGAAAATAGCCAGGCATATGTGGAAAAGTTCAATCCTCATTCATTTCTAAATGAAATCTTTATTTCAAGTAAGATAGATGATACTGCCACTGAGTCGATTCCAACTCATAATGACCCTATATGAACTGTAAATCTTACAGAAGCAGCCTTATCTTTCTTCCATGGACTAACCGGGGGGAATGAACTGCAGACCTTGTGATTAGCAATCCAATGTCTATTATTCAGCACCACTAAGAGTTCTTCCTTAAGATAGATGATTGTTGTTAAGTGCCATGGAGTCAGTTCTGACTCATAGCGACCCTGTACAGGGTTTCTGAGGCTGTACATCTTTATAGGAACAGAAAGCCTCCTCTTTCTCCCACGGAACAACTGGTAGTTTCGAACTGCTGACCTTGCGGTTTGCAACCCGATTTGTAACCACTACACTATAAGAGCTATGATCTTCTAATCTACAGGTCCTGGTGTGGCACTGCAGAATAATGCACTGGGCCACAAGGTCCGTGGCTCCTTAGAAATGCTTTACAGGGTTGCTATGAATTGGAAACAACTCAATGGCACTTAACAACAACAATCTAGATAGCAGCAAATATTTTCTGTAAAGAGTTGTTGTTGTTGTTAAGTGCCGTTGAGTCGGGTCCGACCCATAGCGACCCTGTACAGGGTTTCCGAGGGTGTAAATCCTTACGGGAGTATCTTTCTCCCGCAGAGCGGCTGGTAGTTTCGAACCGCTGACCTTAAGGTTCGCAGCCCGATTCGTAACCACTACGCTAAAGAGTATGGCAGTGAATATTTTAGACTTAGCAGGCCATACGGCCTCTGCTGAAACTACTCAAGCTTGCTATTGGAGTGGTCAATATAGCCATAAAGATAGAGTACATGTCATTTGCTAACCCATTATTTAGCCCACCTCGGAAACTCTTCACTCTCACTGCAATTAAAACACCTATTCCTTCACCTGAACTTATTCAAATCCATTCATCTTGAAAATAAATAACTAGTTTCCTTTCCTCCAGCAACGTGGAAAATAACATTCCATTTTATTTTACACATCTAAAGTATTACTAAATCTCCTCTTAAAGGAAAAAGTAAAGAATGCGGCAAAGAGGGAAATGAAAATTATCACTAGTACACAAAGTCCCTTGATACATACAGATTTTACTGACAACCCAGATTTCTCTAGTGGCAGCAAACGGATACTCTAAAACAACGCCATTCATTGTGGCTTATTTTAAAACACCCATCTGAGAGAAAACTTGGTGGTACAGTGGTTAAGTGCTTGGTTGTTAACCAAAAATTGTTCAAATCCGTTAGTTACTACATGGGAGAAAGACGCGATAGTCTGCTCCCATACAGACTGACAGCCTGGGAAACTCAATGGGCCAGTTCTAGTCTGTCCTATAGCACCACTCTGGGTTTAGGCTGGCCTCTGTAAATGTCAAAGAGAAGAGGAACATTTCTGCAATCCCAAGTCTGTTATCAAAATGTGGTGCTTCCCCCCCAAGGTTGTTAGGTAATGTGAATTCATTAGATATGACTCAATATTAAAAAAGTTAACCATGACTTGTCCCTCAATAAAATGTTTTCTCAGGTTACATGGCAAATGTCTGGTGTCCTGGTGAGGGCAGGGGACCCTTGTGTGCCACAGCCAATAATAACAACAGAAAAAAAGGGGAGGAGAAACTGGAAAAACCAAATAGCTAAGGTTTAAAGAAATGAAGTAAATACCTACCAGGCCCAGCAGCATCCCCCATTTTTCTCTTTTTCTTCTTCTTTTTCTTTTTTAGTTCTGAATTAGGAGGTTGGGTTATTGCTTCCCCATTGGCCAAAATAGCAGATTTCTTGGGGGATTTTTTAATTTTTACATTTCCCAATGCTTCTTTAGATACATCTCCATTTTGGGTTCCAGACAAAACCACATTCATACACTGTTTTAGGGATTTTTTATCTTTCCCACTTCCCACTGTTTCTTCAGGAAGATTTCCATTTTGGGTTTCTGGTAGGCATACACCTGATGCCCCTGTTAAAAACAACAAAAAATATGACAAAGAAGAGGTTTACTTAGAAACTCTGAATTAACAAATGATATTATATGTCTTCTAAAACTGAAGTTATTTAGTCTTCTCTTCCCCTTTGTGTACATACAACTGTATGGTGTTTCAGTATAAAAGTAAGTATCCTTTAAGGCAAAATGCTGGGAAGTGGAAAGCCTGCATTGAGCTCTTCTTTCTAAAAGAACACGTCTCTATCCTTCATCAGTATGTCTGGGATAGAAAACTTCATTGAGGCCAGGCTAAGGCAGTTACAAACTAATTACTTTAACATTAGACATTTGGTAAACATAAGACTGATACTGTTGTTGCTAAATGCCACTGAGTTGGTTCCAACCCATATCAACCCTGCATAGGGTTTCCAAGGAGCGGCTGGTGAGCTTGAACTGCTGATCTTAGAGTTCATAACAACTTTGCAGTCCAGCACATTAACCCACAGACTGACACTAGGGGGCTTCAAAAAGTACATGGAAAAATGGAATTAAGTGTTAACAGAATTTCCCCACAAATTTTCTGAAGCTCCCTTGTATATTACTGAGAAGACATTAACATTTTATCCACACAGTTGTTATTGTTAAGTACCGGGGAGTCGATTCCGACCCATAGTGACCCTGCACAGGGTTTCCGAGGCTGTCAATCTTTACGGGAGCAGAACACCTCATCTTTCTCTCGCGGAACCGCTAGTAGTTTCGAACTGCTGACCGTGAGGTTAGCAGCCTGACTCACAATCACTAATTGTTAGGTACTGTTAAATTGGTTCCAAGCCTGTCGCTTAGGGTCTCAAAGTGGTAAATTTTTATGGGGGCAGAAAGCCTCATCTTGTGGGTTTGAACTGCCGACCTGGGGTTAGCAGCCCAGTGCTTATCCCAGAGGCACTAGCGCACTTATATAAATAAATACAACTTTAAAACATTCAACTCAACTTTCCTAGATGGCAGTGAATTGAAAGTTCATATAATGAAACAAACTCACTTATTTCCACCAATATTTACAATATACAAATATCTGCTAAAGAATACCCTTTAAAAATGTTTCCTGTTTATCGACAGCATACGAACATGTGAGCAACCACATATTTTATTAAAATGATCTATAAATGCACTGGACTGCAAAGTCGCTTTGAATCGTAAGGTCGGTGGTTCAAGCTCAGCAATCGCTCCTCGGAAACCCTATACAGGTCGCTATGGGTCGGAACCGACTCCACGGCACTTCACAACTACTCGGTGGGAAACTAGAAACAGAAGGGAACTTCACTGGCCGCTGTCAGGGAGCCAGATTCTGACTTTTAGTGCTGAAAAGAACAGGCGATCGAGCTCGAGGAAGAGGGGTGGAGGCGGCTGGGAAGAACGCTCCGCTAAGAGTGAGCCATACTTTGTTACAAACTGAAACGAAGTGGACGATGTGGAAGGAAGGTGCGTGGGGATTATAAAGTTTCATGTGTCAGGCCTCCCAAAGGGGTGAGATGGAACCTGATGATGGAGGTGAAAATGGCACAGCCCAGACTACTTGGAAGGCGCTGCCGGAGGCCTGGAAGGAAACTCCGAGGCTTTCTCTCTAAGCCTGCGAAGCGAAATCCGAGGCTCAGGCTGCCCTGGGGTCTCAGTCAAAGCGTGTGTGCCATTTCAGTAATTGTAACCGCGGGAGGCTCAGCGCATCTCACCCTGTAGTTTGAGGTTTCGCTGCCTCAATTTCAGGTTCCGCTTCTCGATCTTCTTGCGCAGGAGTTTCATCGGCAGGTGAGACATGATGTCGGAGGTCTCAGATCACGTTAACGCCGCAGTCCAGCTCCTCCGCTCTCTTGCTGACGCTATTTCTTCCGGGCCGCACGTGTGCTCCTGGCCAACCGGGAACCGGAATGACGTCCCGGGAACCGGTGGAGCGCTGCGAGAAAATGCTTCCGGAGCGCATGCGCGAAGGTACACTTGGAGACCGGGTTCTGTGCAGCGCCCTCTAGGGAATTGGAGGTCTGGCCATTCCCTGGGTTACGTTGAGCCTGAGCTAATGGCGCCCTTTAGGGCGATTGGGAATTAAACTCTACACAAGGTTGCTATGAGTTGGAGCCGACTAGATGGCACTTAACAACAACAATATCGACATCGAGATTGGGAGTGTTACAGAGGAAAAATACACTTAGTCTGAAAAATGAAATAAAGAACATTTGTTCAGAAAAAAAAAAGAAAATAAGGATATATCTGATGCAAGGAGACACGGGCTCACAAAATTAGAACTGACGGCTCCAACTAAGTACTCCAAAGACATTTACAGTCCATAGATTAAAGAAGTTATAATACAGGATTTGACTAGCTACTCTTTGGTTGAGATCACAAGGAGCATGGGTTTGTTGTTAAGTGCCTTTGAGTCAGTTCTGAGTCATAGCAACCCCCTATAGGGTTTCTGAGGAGTGGTTGGTGGGTTTGAACTGCTGGCCTGTGGTTCGCAGTTCAGCACTGATCCTAAAGTGCCCCACTGAAGTCTGAAGTAGGGGAATGAGCTTCTTCTATTGGATAATTGGATAGAGAGAATCACAGTGATTGATTTTAGGACCTTAATTACACAGGTTTTGAATCATAGCTTTTAGGTGGAATCTTAAAACGTCACTGTTGGATTTTTACACAGCTTTAGCCAGATGTCTCTGTTGTTCTTAAGTGCTGTCAAGTCGTTTCTGACTCATAGCTACCCTGTATAGGGTTTCCAAGAAGCTGCTGGTAGGTTTGAACCACCAACCTTGTGGTTCACAGTCCAGTGCCTACAGCACCACACCAGAATTTCAGATGTCTCTGGGGTGTGAAAATTAATTTCTTACCTGGATCTCATTCCGTGAAAAACTTGGTTAAAAACAAACGTTTTTGTGGTCTGAAAAACTTTATGTAACACTGGTTCCAAGACAGATTCAAGCAATTTTTGATATATTCTTTTGGGCCACTTTTTACAAGAGACAGCAGTGTCCAAATTCCCTTCTTTATAGTATATTTCTTTCACATGCTAACTCAATCAGACTGATAAATTGCATTCTAGTTTTAGGACGTTAGCAGTTAACATATCCAGAGAACAGGGTCTCGTGAGGGAAATTTCTGCTGTTTCCCAGGCAGGCAGATCATACTTTCATTTCATAAGAATTTATTTAAATTTAGTCATTCAGTTTTGATGAAAGAGGCTTTATGAATTTATCCTTTATAGGACTATAAACTGGAATAAAGCACTGGACCACAAGGTTGGTTTGAACCACAAGCTCGGCAATTCAAACTCAACCAGCTTCTCCTTGGAAACCCTATGCAGGGTTGTTATGAATTAGAACTGACTCAACAGTCCTGGTGTGGCTCTGTGAGTTAATGAGCCAGACTGCAAAGCCGTTTGAACTACAAGCTCAGTGGTTCAAGCTCACCAGTCACTCCTTGAAAACCCTATGCAGGGTCGCTATGGGTCAGAACCGACTCGACAGCACTTCACAACAACAGCACTTAACAACAAAGGGAAACTGGAGTCCTTATATGGTGCTATAGGATAAACAGTAGACTGCTAACTGCAAGGTCAGTTGTTCAAACCAACCAGCTAGTCCTCGAAAACCCTATACAGTGTTGCTATGAATTGGAACTTACTTGATGGCCCTTAACAACAACAACAAAAGAGAAACTGAAGAGATAAAGCTGATGGGAGAGTCTTAGGGAGTCTTTGTTTCTGTCTTCCTACTTTCTTAGGATCCTGGCCTATTTAAGAATTTTAATAAAACCTTGATTTCAAATATCAGCGTTTCCAAACTCACATTGGACCATACTTCTCAGTCATTTGTTTAATAGGCACATGCTGTTGTTGATAAGTAGCATCGAGTTGGTTCTAAATCATAGTGACCCTGCCTGTGTAGGGTTTCCAAGGAGTGACTGGTAAGTTTGAACTGCCGACCTTGCAGTTCAAACTGACTTTGCAGTCCAGCGCAATAACCCATGGTGCCACACATTTTCTCAAAATAGTATTTACATTTGGTTCTGCTCTGGTAGTGTTCCTCCCATTCTATCCTAGATTATTTTATTCTTATCCCACTCAAAAAGTCATTTACTATGCACTGAAATCAATTTTGTTACAATATTAGCGGTTGGCTGCAGTTTGAAAAATAGAGGTTTCCAAATCCCCAAAGCGCATTTTCTTGCAGTCCAAGACAAACATTGC